GTCTGCTTCAGAGCTGACTTGAAGCTAACCTTAAAGCTGCTTAATAAAGCTTAATAGTAAAACAGTCAAATGCTACTGTGCTGTTAAAACAGTCTCTGGATCTTGGGCTATCCTTTCATGCTAAATATTTTTACAAAATCACTGAACCTAAAATATTACATGAAACTGACCTCCAATCCATAACCTGCTAGGACTGTACCCTTGCTGTGGAAAAAGTGAAAATGCAGGCTGCTTTTCTCTGCTTTGCAACTTACTGAAATATACTTTAAAAGCAAATATATGAAAGAGACCAATATAGCTTTTACACATGGGACTGCAGATGTATCAAAGGGAATGTGATAACTTGTTGAAGAATATCAAACTATATTGCTAAAAGACACAGATGTGTGGGAACTGATGAAAACATGACACTAAGGATATGATGGCATTTCCATTTACCTACACCCCTCCCTTTAAAAGTGCCCTGAGCATGGTTTATATTTAGCTACAGTTCCTCTTTTAGTCACTTCAAAGTGGAGGAGAATCTGGGTGTAAACAGCCTCAATAAACGACTTCACCAAGAGAATTTCCTGTTCCTCAGAAATGTTTTTCTCACTGTAGTTTGTTTCACGATACCCAAAATTCCTTTTGAAAACACACTTTCAAGATCTTACTGCCCCCAAGAATTGCCTCAAGCATTCTCTTGCATGAAAATGTAGATTCTTAATTTGTGGTCCTGGTAGAATAAGTAATTACTTGTCTAACGTTTTGAGGTGCATCTAATGATTGCACTATGCAATTAAGGAGGACACAATTAATTTAACACTTGGACTTTTTCCATAGCTTGCAATTTCCTAGGGCAACCAATGTTAGTCTAGTCCTCAAGAGGAATTTTGCAACTTCCAAACATCAGGCAATTCTGCATTACACCAATAGCCCCTGACTAAGGCATTTTTTGGGCAACAAAGCAGTCATTTCAGGGAATGAAAAATTGGCAGAAGGTTTTTCTGCCAACCAAAGGATATCCTTTTCCAAGGAAGAATTCCTTGTGAGTCTTTCAGATTAATTAGCTTAAGTTTTCCATTGCTGCAACAGGTGAAGGCAGCTATAGATATACCAAGTGTGCGGCTCTATTTTTGCCTTACATATATGGAAAGGTTTCTCATTTCCTCTTTCTGATCTAGGACACTCTAACGAATATCAAAAATCCTCACTTCTACTGAAATGGACTTGTTTTTGATGTGTCACTATTTACATAATAAGTCATACTAGAGTGATGTCTCAGAATTTTCAATGTAAATATTTCAGCATATTGCTTACTGTATTGAATTTTTATTCATGCCTTACATAGAGTTGTATTCACATTAGCTTGAAATGTTTCTTGTAAAATCATTGTATAAACCATATTTCTTAACTAGAAGCATGTATAAAAAAACCAGATTCATTTTCTGAATTGTATGAGTTTATGATAGTATAACAAATCCTTCGGTGTTTTTAACATGATTATATGACACCTATCTGGGAAATTTGGATTATATATCAAGTAATAAAGTTTCTGTAGACACCTAATAAATCAAGCTGCAAAATAACACAATCTGGATTCTCACCCCAGGACTTAAAATCTCTTTCAGGGATATATTAAATAAGGTTTATGCGTATTTAATTTTTTACGTTTGTATATTTTATATAAAGACTTTTTCTGAACTAGGTAGCTCCTGGTGAAAGTAACACAAAATTTGTTATATCTTGATAGATATTGGTCCAAAAAATTAAAATATTAGATGATCCCAAGTTGCAAATAGTGTTCTTTCTCCTCTTACACCTCCTGTTCCTGATGCAGTAACTTCAGAGCTATCACTTTTCATGGGGAATTCAAGCAATGTCATAAAATGCTACATGATAACTTGTTTTCCTTCAGCACAACTGTCACTTTGGCAAAACTGTGAATGCACATGTATTTGAAATACAACAATCCAAATCAGTGGGGCCCAAGCTATGGCTTACAGACCTAATTTGGTCTACCAGAATATTTTCTCTGCTCATGACTTGCTCCTTGCTAATTGCATCCCCCACATCTTTGCAACTCATACTCTGTTTAACAGCAAAAAGTATATTCCCTGCATGAGTTTACATCCCTCTTCCTTCAAGTGGATATAAAGGAATCTATAGCAGAGAGGACTGCAGGCCAGATGGAGGCACTTTCAGTGAGCCTGCTGTGGCCTAAGAATCATTCTTCCTGACATAGATTGATCAATGCTGCACTTCCCACCAAAGGATCTTCACAGTAATGCTGGCAGAACTAACAGATATTTAGAAGTACACTGGCATTACGGATATTAATATAATTTTCTCAAAAAAGTCCTGCTTCTCCCTCCCAAAGGGCAATTCAGAAATAACTATTGCAAGTTTTCAGGAGATTCAGAATTATTTTAGGCCCTGATTTGTGGCTTAATGTATCCTACTCCCCATCTTCAGGGTCCCTATGCACTGTGGACATGTTGCACAGACCTAAATGAGTCATGCCTTTCATTTCAATAAGATGACTCACGTGTTTAGTTGGGTGTGTTTGCATGACAATAGCCCTCCAAATAAAAAATGAGACAGAAGAATCATAGTTTCAAAACACAAAATAGCATTTCTCAGTTGCTTGTGCCAGGACAAGGAAATATCCTCAGCCTACATTGCAGGCCTGGAAAAAACACCTCTCTGGCAAAAACTCTTTAATATCCACTACCATCTATATAATTGTGAGAGCATCTTTCTACAGAAACACCTTTTCTTGAAGCAGAACACTACTCCAGCTGTGCCTCTCAGGTTTTACATGTATTCACTGGGAAAGACCAAAATTAAATGTTAAGATAGGTAAGAAATCAGCTCAAATGATAGATGAGATAATGAAAATCTGAGTAATTTGATCTATCAAAGGAAGTATAGGAGTATTAGTTGACATAATGCAATAATTTAAACCCATATGAACTAAACCTATAATTCTTATACCTATTACTTCAAATCAGTTCCAAAAGTAACAAACAGTAACAGTTGTGCTTTTTAAAAGAACAGGTTAGACAGTATTTGCTGCAAATTATTCACTAAATCAACTATCTACCTGGGGAAAAAGGAAAAACAAACAAAAAGCGCTATCTTTTTTGGAGAACAAAGTGTTTGTCCAGGAGCTGTGTGCTCAAGAGCTTGCCTAGTTTTTTCTAAGTGCAGTGATTGGAAAGATAACTGCTTTTCCCTACAGATCTTGTCTTGCTTGTATCATTGCAACTGCATCATCCATGGTACAGGAATATCCTGATTCACTCACTAGTAAGTTTGCAAGGCAGACCACTCAGTCCGGCATTTTGTCTAGCAATGTGCCAATTTGGCACATTTTCAAGGGTGTGTGAGGTTGTTTCTTTTCCCTTCAGATGGCAAGAGCGTGCTGGGAAGGCTCGAAGGAGCCAGCTGACACTGCCTCTCATCTCTGTAGCTGTATCCGCTGTGCATGAGGGAGCAGCTACCAGCTCCACCCAAGTCTTGCTGAATTCCTGTGGCCTCACTTGGATGTTTATCCAAAGATGCTCCATGACCATGGTCTGTGTCACTCAAAATTGGACTATTTGTTGTCTTTCCTTCCTGAGCTGTTGCTCCAGGGGACAGAAGAATACCAGGATTAGCTATTTTTGGGAGCCCAGGTGATGGATAAGGTCAAGGAGTTTCAGCTTGTATATTGCTAGGGGCTGGAAAAGCATGTCCACTAACTAATTTTTTTTTTAAAATAGGTTAGAGTGTAATATCAAAACTGTCTCTTAGATAGACCATTATGTTCTTCATACTCTCTTGTGGTCACTTTTCAAGTACATTTTCTATGATTATAAATACAGAAGGCTGCAGCTTTTAGACTGACAGCCAGAAATTCATTCCAGCTCACAGTACAAGGTTCTGCACTTTAAATAGAGCAACAGAGGGGCAGTGTAAAGCATGTAACTGTTAGACATTTCCACCCAGACTTTTTCCTGTTTTACGAAAGTAACTGCATTGAACAAGAATACATACAAGCTGAATCCACATCAAAGACATATGTGCTTTTAGTATAAAACCAGAAATTAGTATTTTGTCTTCTTGTTCTACTGAACTTCCAGCTGCCCCGTTTGCTGAAATGCCTTAATGAACGTACAAGCATGCCCATCGCCCTTTACAAGTTCTAATGCAGGGTTTTGTTGACATTATTATTACTATTATAATTCCGGATGTACGCCCTGCCTGTGTTTGCATGCAAGCAAAGAGTGCACACAAAATCAAATGCTCTTATTCAGATACAGGTAACAGCAAGAAAGCAGGTTATGCTGGAGACATTTATCTGCAATTTCCCTGCTGTACACAGTTTTTATTCTGCAGTTGTCTCTCAAAGATATCTGTTATTTTCTTAGGCTGATTTGCTGGATTGCCCAGATTATATTGTTTCTACCATTGTATTTTGCAAGTGCATAATTGCAGTACTTAAAGATATGTTCTTAATTTTGATATCTGTTTGTTTCCAATCACCCTTTAACCTTAACAACCTACACGTATTCTCGTTTAATATACACTTGAAAATTCCCCAGCAGGGGAATATAACTCCACTGGAGCACGTTGTATGCATAAGCGTTGTAAAGAAAACAAACCCTTTCTGCACCTTGCCATTAATAACACCAGAGCAAAAGCGACCTACGAAGCCATCGAGCCTCGGCGAGGCTCCCGAGAAAACACCCCTCTAAATGGAGAAAACACCCCTCACTGCACATGCAGGCAGTTTTTCTTTCTGGCAATGACTCAAAGTTCAGCCTCAACTGTCCCAAAGTGGGTCCGAGCCTCCAGGCATGTGAGGCACGCTGACCTGGCGAGGAGGAGCCGCGGAGCCCGGGCGCATCGGCTCAAACCCCGGCCGCCGGTCGGGGAAGGCTCGTTTCACTGGTAGACACGGGCAAGCCGGGGTGTTTGCGGTACAAAGCCCCCAGGTAAGAGAAGGAGACGGGTCAAGGGAGCGCAAGGGTACCACAGTACAGTCAGCGATGCTTGAACCCCGCGCTCCCCTGACGGAAAACAACCCGCTTTCCAGCACGGCTCCCTCTCTCCAAACCGTGCGGATCAGGCTCCGCCGGGAATGCTGCGGGCACCGGGGCCGATGGGGCGTGCGGCCCGGGCGGGGCTGGCGGCGGGGCCCCGCTGGGGCACACCCGCCCGGCGCGGCGCTCCCGGGGCGGGGCGGGAGGCGGAGCCTTGGCGCCGCCGCCGAGCCCCGCAGCGGGGCCGGGCGCTGCTGCCGCCGGAGCCTCGCCTGGCCTCCTCCCTCCCGGGCTTGCCACATCGGCACCGCCGTTCCGAGAAGGCGCTTCCCGGAGCGGAGCGGGAGCCCAGCGCGGGGAGATGGAGCCCCGGTGCTGCCACCGCCGCCGCCCCCCGGGACTCGCGCTCCGCCAGGGCCGCTGCTGCCACTGCCGGGACGGAGAGAGCGGCCCCGCCGCCGTCTAACGCCGCAGCCCCGGCGGCGCGGGCGGCGGGGCGGGGGGATGCTGGGCGCGGGGGCCGCGGCGCTGCAGCTCCTCTCCCGGGCCGTGAAGCAGGCGGCGGCGCAGGGCGCTCGGCAGGACCTGGGCCGCTGGCTGTCCCGAGCCGCCGGGACGGCCGCGGGAGGCGGCGGCAGCGGAGACACCATCGGCTTCGTCCCGGCGGAGGCGGCGGGGGCCGGCGGGCTGCTGCTGGGGCCCTGCGCGGACCAGGACGGGCTGCCGCCCGCGGAGCTGCTGCTCTGCCAGCTGCCCGAGCCGGGCGGCGGCGGGCATGGGCTGGCCGAGGCCCGGGGCTGGCGCTGCTCCTGCTGCCTCCTGGGCACCTGCTGGTGCAAGAGCTGCTTCAGCCTGTGCGTCCTGGCCGCCGTCTGCTTCGCCTCGCTGGCCCTGGTGCGGCAGTACCTGCGGGACCTGCTGCTCTGGGCCGAGAGCCTGGACAGCCTGGCAGGCGTGCTGCTCTTCACCGTGGGCTTCATCGTCGTGTCCTTCCCGTGCGGCTGGGGCTACATCCTGCTCAACGTGGCCGCCGGCTACCTCTACGGCTTCGTGCTGGGCATGGGGCTGATGGTGTTCGGCGTCCTCGTCGGCACCTTTGTCGCCCACGTGGCCTGCAAGCGGCTGTTGTCCCGCTGGGCACGGGCCAGGATCCAGGGCAGCGGGACGCTCAGTGCCATCGTCCGTGTCGTGGAGGGCGGCAGCGGCCTCAAGGTGGTGTTTCTGTCGCGGCTGACGCTGATCCCCTTCGGGCTGCAGAACGCCGTGTTCGCGGTGAGTCCCTGCCTGGGCTGTGCGGCCAGGAAGACAAGTGCTGGAAGGATGTCTTTCGGCACAGTGGCTGCTGGTACTATAGGTGGAGGTTGCCTCCTTTCCTGGGAGCAAGCCATGGTTTCTCTCTCTTTTAGCAACAGTAAAAACAACCCTCTCTCCCTGCTCTTCTGTGCATGCAGAGGGACAGCAGGCAGATGTTTGAGATGCCTTGCTCACTGGCATTGTGTTAGAGTTGCTCTCTTGTCTTTCAAAACTATATTCTGGTGTTAGAATCACCAAGTGCTGCATAGCGAAATCTGGAGAACTCAACAGTTACGATGTATCTGTGCTTTTAAAGTGATCCACTTTAAAACATGGCAGGAGCTGAGGAAAGCTCTTGCCACATATTCCTAAACTACTTAATATAAGTAATATTGGAAAGAAAGAAGTGGACAGATTAAAATTCTTTCTCGGTGTGGCTGGTGATTTACCATGCATCTGGCAAATCCATACGGGATGTTAAGTCCATGCAAACAAGACAGGTTGCAGGTTTTGGGCAGAGCAGCATGTAGCCTTAGACCTGGAAAGGGACTGTACTCTGGAGTGGCACTGAAAGTTAGTGTAAACTTGAGTCTGGAAAAGGGTTAGTCTTGCTTTTCTTTTTACTCTCAGGTGAAGATTGGCACATTCATTTGGTCTCTGATCATCTTAAAGGAAAAAAGTAAAGAAGAACACGGAGGATGGTTTGTTTGAGTGTTGTTGTGCTGCTGATGACAATTTCAGACCCTCGTTTCTTCCTGAGTACTTTGTCTGAAGGATCTAGTTTTGGCTGTGTTATGCCTCAGTTGTATGTACTAGCTCGGTGAAGTCAAAACAAAGCGAACTGGATTGTGAAATACTTTAAATGTTATCAGTAACTTGTATGTTCTTTAACATAAGTGACTATCTAAACACATGTTTTAGTCTGCCACTTTCTTATAGCCCACTCTGTCTACAGTCCTGATCCTGTACCCTTCCAAAGCATTTTCTTAATTTTGACAGTCATCTGGCTGCAATTAGTAGGTTACCAAATACCAAATTTGTTTTTTAAGTAAAATTTAATCCATGCAATTTTGGGGTGTAACATCCACACCAAATATTTTAAATTTCTGTGTATAAACTGTGTGTACCGGAGCATTCATCTCTGGAGCAGTAATTTCTACCCATAAGAACTATAGTAACTTGTAATTTCTTTTGAAGAAATGCTTTAACAATTTTCTTGTTAAGAATGAGAAACTGAACAGCTGAACCTTTGCTATTTTATTTGTTAACCCATATTACTGCAGACTTATATTACTTATATTACTGAAGAAGCTTGACCTGTCCAGCTGGGAGAGCTGAGTCCCTCCTGGAGCCCAAGGTCCAGTGTTGCAGACGAAGCTTCTGCTGTGTTGTGACCCTCCTAAAGTGGGGAGAGCTGTTGTGCTCTGGTTGTTCACAGTTTTGGGAAGTCACTTGAAGTAGTCAGCAGATGATATAGAGTAGTATTGGATCTGAACAACAGACCAGAGAATTACCAAGTTAAAATTATTTCCTTCTTGGCATAGCCCTTCTGTTGGAAACACAACTCAGCAGAGTATTCGGGCCAGTTCAATATTAAAATGATGCTGTAAATCATTGTGGTTTGTGTTCTCCGTATTCTGCAGGCTAAATAATTTTCTTTCCAAGTGGATGGTTTCAGTGTTAAAATAATAGATAGGAAATGAGATGAAACCAGATGCTTGAGTTATGCCAAGTAACTTGGATTTTTTTGCTAATTTTAGTTTGGTTATGTTTATTACTCCTGGTTTACTATCGTATAGCATAGTCAAATATGCCAGGCTGCCCAAAGCAGTGTATACTCAGTTTTTCACTGTGAACATTTAATATGAGCTACTAGGGATGCATACAAATCTAGGAATTCAAGACATTTTCTCATTTTGAGTCAAATTTAAGTTACGTAAAAAATACAGTTTTCTGCCTCCACAGACCGAGCTGTCATTTCCTTGAAATCTCACTCATTTTAAGCTTAAAATGCATTTCCACATGCTAGCAACTTCAGCAATGAATTTTAAAAGGATTAATTTTTAAACAAGAGTGAACTTAAGGAAAAGTACACATCTTTGTCTTTCCAGTGGTCTGGTCTATGCATGTTTTCTATGTGGGTATTTTAAAGTAAACTGGAGATACCGAGAATACTTAAATGAGAGAGAAGGAAGGAAGTGACATATGAGGTTCAGGGAAAGGCATAACCTTGATGTGAGCAGGGCTGGGATTAAATGATCTCTACAAGCACTCGTTCGGTGGCATGTACCATCTGCTGAGGGCTTTCGGGAGGTTGACTTGTAATGGGTGTAGAGAAGGATGGAAGAGCTTCTTAGGTTTTGATTAGTGAGGGAATCATATCAATTGAAACAGCACAAGAAGAAAATTAACACAAATTCCTTAGTGTCTCATTAGTGAGATTTGAAGATCTTGCTTCTTGAACGGTTGTTCTGCTGGTAGTAGAGGGGCGAGGTAAAGCATTTGCTTGCCTTTCTGGAATATAGCACTTGCTAACTGAAAGTATGTTTGTATTTCCCTTTTAAGTTTTGCTTAATTGTCACTCCCGATGCCAGAGTGGCCTGGGCTGCTGGGGTGGGTCGATAGCTCTTACTGATGTGTTTGCCCACTCACAGCTCTCTCACCTTGCCAGCTCTGGAGTGTTTTGAAGGCAGGTCTGTAAGGAGGCCTGGTATGCAGGTTATCATCTCCTTCCCACGAGTTTGTTCTTGGAGTGAGATTTGTGCAGCCTATTTATTTGTAGTGCCAGATGTAGGTTAGATGGGATTTCATACTCTCTTTAAGGGGAATATTACATGAAAGAATCTGATTAAAAATCTGAGTGTTCAAGTGTGCACTTCTGGGTTCAGAAATGCATAGAATGAAGTCAGAGTTGAAGAAATGGTACCTGCTTTGCAAGAACATGCACACTGCTTCCTCTGCTTGTTGGAAAGTTGGCAGCTGGTTTGGTTTTTTGTATTACTGGGATTTTTTTTAGGGAGTAGTGTTGGCTTTTTTGGGGGGGTGGGAAGAGGTGCTTCTGGGGGATTTTAATTTTGGGCTTTTTTTTGAGGAAAAAAACACCAGAGTTATCCTTGGTCACTAAGCCTATCTAATATGAAACACAGAGGGAAGAGAAATTGTGCTGCAGTCCTTAAAGGCATGGGAGCCCTCAGCAAAGTCTTGACAGAAGCTTTTATTCCTTGACAGTGCTGAACCAAAGGTGTCAGCTGCAAAGAATGCTCAAAAGTTCCACAGGACAAAGCCCATCCAAGGCTTAATGGGAGAGGAGGGTTTCTGGCTATTTTTATCAGTGCAATTATGTAGTTCTTAATTGTATTTGAATCCAATTTAAATGCATTTCTGTTATGGCCCATAACACAATTGAATCTTTGCTTGGTTTGGGATTTCAGGGTTAATTTTTGCTGGCTTGAGCTTTCATGAGAAACAGAGCCCTGGTAGGCTCTGTTAGGCAGCCTGGCATACAAGTTTGTCAGGTTCATAGAACAGGTAAAGTTCCTAGAAAGAAGAATATGGAAAGCTGTAAGTTTTATTGATGATTTCTGAAGTTTCTTAGGCAGGGATGCTGTCCACTTCCTGTGCATTCTGCAGAAAGGGATACAACTGTAGCTCTAAACCTACAGTTCAGTTAAAAAGGACATAATAAATTTTTTTTCACCCTCTCCTTAGCTTTCATTGCAGTGGGAAGCACAAGCTGCAATTAAGTGTATCCACTGGGGCAGTCTCCCCTTCCCTTGGAAACAATCTCTCTCCTGACCCAGGAGGTCCAGTTGTTTCGGGACTCATCCAGGTCTGCAGACATGTTGCTCTGCAACTGAAGTGTCCTTAATAGATCTACAGAAATGAGAGAGGTACCAGGAGTGTTAAAGCAATCTTTGGGAAGTTTCCCAGCTCCATTAGATGTAATGATAGTGTCCTACTTAGCAAATCTTGCCTCTGCGTTAGTATTTCAGAAACTTTTAATAGCAGCTCCTTCATTCCCTTGGCAATATGGGAACTTTGCGCTATGCATTCTTGTTACATGGCCCAGATTACAACAATGCTTAGAAAAGTATTTTGAAAGTACTGGTCAGATGTGAAGTTCTGACATCATTATGTAATCCTTTTTCATTATAAATCTAAATTAATCTTGTCTAGAGAAGGAAATATAATATTTGTGGTGCTGGTATATATTTCAGTCTGTGGGAAGTATAATATGCAGTGTGAAGTTTGGAAATGGCTTATTGGATCTTGTTCCAGTGAATTATTTTTAATCTTTATGCTTCATTGCATTCTGCTCCTCCATTGCCCTTCCTCCCAAAAACTTTCCACTGATGGTGGTTAGAGCTCTGAGAATTCAGCACTGTGACTTTCACAGTAACTAAAGTTTATTTTAAGAATAGCATGATGAAATGAGTAACATTGCTGCTGTTCTTTGGTCTTCAACATTGTACAAAACTGGCAAGGTCAATAATTTCCATGCAGGCTCTCAGTGTTAGAGCTGTTCTTAATTAGATCTCTGTTACTATCAACTGAATTATCTGGAAGATTTGTTGGACTGCTCGTTTTCAAAATCATTGTTTTTATACTCATTTTTAATCCAGTTTCCTCTTGTTTTCTTTTTTCTTGTGTAAATATCATTTGATCTCATGACGCTTGCCTTTAATATTTCCCAGTGGCTGCTGATACTAATTTAGCTGGTACTGTGTACTTTGTTCCCATGTAAGCTTGTACATGCACCTATTGACACAGAACAGAAACTTCACAGCAAAGAGAAGAAAATACCGAAGTGTACTTAGTGTTTTCTCCAGAGAAATTAATAAAACCTATAGCTGTGTGTACTATTTCATTCACTAATTGAAGTGAGATGCAAAATACCTTTAGTAGACAATCTTAATGATACTCTTATATATCAGTATAGGTATAGATGGATGTTGCTCATAGGGATCACTGAAAGACATGTGTCTCTTAATAAGCTCATAACTTGCCCAGCACAGGCAATTTGTATCTGCTATTCTGTTTACCTGGATCCTATTTAAAACAGTGACATTTTGAACATACCCCTTGTATTATTTGCCATATACGTAAAATGCAAAACAGATAGATTTTTATGTTAGACTTTCACATTTGATAACATAATTTCCTCTCACAACTAAATTCTCATAAATCCAAGGACTCTGTTCACCGGGTTAAAAAAAATATCTTCAGTGAACGGTGTAATTGCATCCCTAGTTAATGACTGTTGCACAGAGATGTTGCGTAATATGAGGTGAAAAGAAATCAAACCTAGTAACTTTAAAAAGGTCAGATGAAAACTATATACATACTGTATCATTCTACTGTGGTCCCCCTGTGCATGAATCAAAGTTTCACTGAAGGAATGTAGGATATTCTTTCATGATTTTGCAGGGATGGTTGTGGGAAGTGGTAGTCTGGTTGTTTGTACACATAGATTGTGTTTGGACCTGCTTTTGATTTCTTACTCTTTTTACTCAGATTACAGATTTATCACTACCCAACTACCTGATGGCTTCTTCACTCGGGCTGCTTCCTACTCAGCTCCTGAACTCGTACTTGGGCACCACCTTGCGCACCATGGAGGACGTGATTGCAGAACAAAGTGTTAGTGGCTATTTTGTATTCGGTTTACAGGTCAGTTAAAATATCTGCTTTCATAGACCTTGGTAACGGCACTGTCTGTCTCTGTGATTTCTGCTGACTGCTAGATACCCAGAAAAATGGACTCCGAGTGTACTGATTTCTTTAGATTCTGTTTTGTGCTCTGACAAAAGTGTAATTCTCTCACACCTCATCATAACATGAAGCAGAACTTACTCAGTGTTCTCTTTTTCTGATACAGTTTTCAGTAAGTTTTCTTCTCTTGCTGTCCTAGGGTGACTTTATGATGCTTGTATCCCCAGTCATCTGTTCTATTTATGCTGAATATTAAGTTTGGCACATTCAAGACTGGTTCTGAGAGCAAAGGAGGGGAAAGAAGCACGCAGTTTGTGTTTAGAAACTGCACTTGCTCCCCACAATTCTCTCTTATGGATTGTGTTGTCTGCAGCATGGACAGCGGAAGAGCTCTCCTTTGCTTTTACTTAGGTTTTTTTTTAGCTAGCTGAGGCAGAGAAGTTCCCCAGATTATTGCTTTTCTTTTTCTTGGAACTGATTGGCCCTGCTCTGGACTAAAAATCCAGAAAAACGCTTGCCTTCAAGGGTAATCTGCTAAATTTTAGACTTGTTAAACCACCCCTACACAAAAGCTTGTGTGTGTAGGCGCAGAACATGTGCGCTGTTCACTGTTAGCACTCAGCATACCCATTTTGCATAGGTATTCAGGATACTAAAAATGCTGTAGAGTACTATTTCCCTAATGGCTAAATTAGAATATTCTAATTTTACAAGTGAGTAAATTAATGAGAGAGGTATATCAAGTACTTTTACATGACCTTAGCTCTTGAGATAATTCATCAGTAAATTTTGGGTGTAAGCCTTAAGTGTGAGACCATTATGAGCAGAGAGGTTATGGGTATTTCTGCATTATATTATATATTAAAACCTTCTCTGACAGTGATAGTACTTCAAGCTGTGTTTGACTAACAATTACCATGGTTTGCAGACTTTCAGTCGGTACTGCAGTAATTTCTGTTCCTCAGTTTTTACAGTCATAAAGCTGATGTTTAACAATGCTAACACAGAAAACTAAGACTAGGACCATTTTAAACACACCTTCCTCCCTTGCCCTGAAATTTGTGTGCTCTTTAATAGAACTATTTCTACTGAATGCAAATAAATGCTATATAATTTGTAGCTTTCATGAAACATGGCTTCATAAGTGTGGCGTAGATAGTTTTGATAGATCAAAGAGAAAATAAATGGTTTCTTGATCAACTATTATTTTAGTCATGAAATGTTATTTCCAGGGTAGTAGTTTTTAGTGGCCTTTTCCTTTTTTTCCCCCATTTATATATTTAGTTTTTTTAAATTGACCTTGACTCTCCTTTGCAGATTATATAGGTTGTAACAAGGTGAGTGGTAGCTGGATAGCCTGAATATTTTAAAAGGAGTACTAACCTTCTTGAGTGCAGTCCTTGGGACGTGACTGAATAACTGAAGGGGAGGCCTTTAGTGGAGAAATTATTTGCATTCTCCCACTGTCTCTCCAGCATCTGCCGAGTGCTTTGCCTGGATGAGCTTTGATGGGACTTTGATTTAGTAAATAGCTCTGAAAATCCTTCACATTTCATGGTTGTCTATGTGTGTATGTATATATATATATATGTATGTTTAAAAAGTTGTTTATCTAGGGAACTGGGTTACTGGTAGTAATATTTCTAAACCAAAACAAATTTAAATATTTGGGTAAGCTTCTATAATAGAAAGTTTCCTATCTATTCAAAAATAAGTGTCTATAATATCATTGTGAATCTTACATTAGCCAGCTTTTAAAATGTGTAACATAAATTGGTGAGGAGCATCATTTTCACCACAACAACAGTCAAGCACTGGAGCAGAGTGCACAAATGGTGAAATCTCTATCCTTTTACAGCTGTCAGGACCTGACTGGACAAAAGTTCTGTTCTGATCTTACAGCCAGCCCTGCTGTGAGCAGCTGGTTGGGCTAGAGACTGCCAGGGTGCCTTCCAGCTGCAGTTGGCCTGTGCTCATACTTGTCATACTTGTCAGTTGTCTTAGTGACACTGTCTGCCATGCTGACAGGTGTTTTAAGCAATAGTCCTCAATGTTAAAGAAAATAGCCCTACAGTTAGTAATGAAGTTCAGGTTTTAGACTCAGAACTCTAGGTTCTGCTTTAAATAATATAACTCCTTTGCCTTTTTGAAAGGAAGCTGCAGATTCCAGCTAGATCTTTTAAAAAGGCAGAGGAGCTTGCTTCTTTCAAAGGGACTCTCACTATGAGACACCTCGATTTTTATTTGAAGATTTTGTGTTTATTTTTTTTTTTCCTAAGGAGGATCTCAGCTAAAAACTTGACTGGGGTTTAATTGAAGAGAGAAGGTGAAACAATTGTTTTATAACAAGTATATGGAGTTCAACAGAAAGAAAGAAACTTATCTTTTCAATGTATATAAATATTTTAAGTTCTGTGTGATGTTTATTATCTGATATGCTGGTTACATTGTTAGCATATATAGATTGAGAGCTACTCAGGGGCTGAGTTCATCTCCCTTCCAGTGTCTTGCCTGTGAAGCTTTGAGTCTACAGATGCCTCCATGAATCTTTACATTGACAACTTTTTGTTTCATTCAGATCAGTTGCTTTGTATTCATTCCCAGAGCCTGTGGAGCCTACAACACTCTTGTTTTATTTGCAGATTGTCATAAGCATAGGACTCTCGTTTTATGTCGTTCACCGGGCTCAAGTGGAACTCAATGCAGCGATTGTAGCGTGTGAGATGGAAATGAAGACGTCGCTTGTTAAAGACACTCAGCCAAGCATCAATGGCTCAACCACATACTGCAGCAAGAGGACAGTAGCATTCTCTGGAGGGGGTGTCAATATTGTCTGATGTCAAGTATTAATGACTAAGTAAGGTTTTGTGAACCTGAGCTAGAAATATCTTGAACCTTGCCTAGAAGTATCTATGGACAATTGAAATGGACTTAAAAAAATTACAAGTGATTACAGGTTGTACTGTGGCACAAACCAACCGACCAGCTCTTTAATTGCACATGGGGTGATTTCTTGCAAGACAAGGAAGATGGCAAAGTAACTTAAGATGTAAATGCAAATTTGGCTGCACCTTTGGTCATTTATTATGCCTGTCATGGCCTGTAATCTGCACTTTAAGTAGGTTTTTTTCCTTTGCTCCTATAAACTGAGAAATGCTTCTATAAACAAAAAAGTAGCACAGAGGTAAATATTTTTCTGCTTAGCATTATTTATAAGGCTAAATAATTATATACAGTAGAATTTTAGTACTGATAAAGGTGAATGAGAAAGTATACAATTCAGTGTATGTTATTCTTGAATGTGCTTTTGCTTTGGAATTGCTTCCAGAACTTGAAGTGTATTATTTAGCTAATGATGGGACCATTTGGCTTTTTCTTCATTTTTGATTTAAAAAAAAAAATAGAACCCTATATAAAGTTTTGGTTGAATGTATTTTTCTAAGTCATTACAAATGTTGCAGAGCCATGCAAATGTATTCACACAAGCTTAAATCCTACATTGTGGGACTGAAGTGCTCTTAAATTACATTTTAAGTTACACTGTGTAATATGCAAAGTACAAGGGAAAATGCAGAAGTTAGATTACAATGACTATTTGAATGACACTTAATTGGTTTTGCCACCTTGGTGATTGTAACAAAGGGCTGTTCCACATTAGTCCTATATGTGATATTTTTAATTGTTAAAAGGATGAAGTTTTTCAGCTCACATGACTGCATATGGTAAGGCTTCTAGAACAGGGAGCTAAGTCTCTGCTCTAAACAGAATGATGGGATATTAGCAGTACTAATTTTACAAGAAGGTGGCCTTTATTTTGTAAATGAATCCCCTCTCCCCTTAAAAAGCTTTAAAAATTCACTTTGGTTGGCACATTTTTTGTACTAGTTTTACATTTTTTAAAAGATGCAATCTATTACAAATTTCATTAGAGTGAAGAAACGAAAACTAGAGGTTCTCCTTGGAAAAAGAAATAATCCAGTAATGGAGAGGACAGCAATGTCTCTGAGACTCAGGAATTCTGACTCCATTTTTGCAAGACAAACTATATTGGATACTGCTCCTTTTACGCCTGCTGTGGACTGTTTTTCACTGCATTAAATAGACTGGATAACCTGGTGGTAACTTGTGTGTGTGTCTAAAAGAAAACAATAATTCCTGAACACAATGTTCTGTATGTGTGAGTTTCATGTAGATATACATACCAATGTTCAATGGCTCAAACACATGCAAGTCATCTGGTACAAAAAATAATGTAAAGTATAGCTTCTTTTGTAGTTATTTTATGTGAGTTTTTAAGGATGCTTTCAGTCTTCAAAATTTTATGTTGTTTTCTAACAGTATGATTGTGCCTCCTTTTTGTAAGGTTGTAGAGTCGATGCATTTTTGTGAGACTAGTGGGTCTTCAAGGCCTTTGGGAAGCAGAGATGTGACAGCCTCTGGCAGCCTTACTGAGAGGACGCGCAGCACTCGCGTAACCGAACATCTGCACGTTTCTTCCTGCGGAGTTCCATTTTGTTCCTCAAATGCCTATCCTTTGCAGAATGGTGTTCTTGGGTCCTGTGCCCTAAAGAACTGAGCTAGGTTAATGAAAGCAACAAAGTTCAGATTGTCTCCTTTCTGTTGTTTAGGGGCTTGGTTTGTTTTGTTGTGGTTTTTTTTTTTGGTTGGGTTGTGTTTTGGGGTTTTTGTTTTGGTTTTTGTTTGGTTTGGTTTCATTTGGTTTTGGGTTTAGTTTTGACTGGTTGGTTGGTTTTTGAAAAGGCAATCTGTATCTACCTGGAAGTGTTAATCTACACATCTCTGCCTCTGTCAGCTCCTGTGTGAAAACAAGAGAGCCAGATAACTTCTTGATGGCGTTATTTGTCATCATAGTATAATTGAATAATTGAGTCCTTTCTTAACTAAATGGGTTTTTTTTGTTTGTTTCTTGTGAAGAACAGTCCTTCAGTGAACTGATCTGAACTTTGCTCTATCTTGCCAAATGAACAATAGTGTTTTGAAGAGGGTAGCTCTTTCTTTGCATTTTTTAACTAACTTAAGGTTGTGTTGATTATTTGAAACATTTCCCAAATATGTATTTTGAAGTGCTTTTATTTCCATGACATTTTGTAACCAGAGTAACTTCACTATGTGAACACTTTTGTAGTATGGAATTAGTTCTTAAGACTTTTGCATTTTGCTTGATACTTGTAATATTTGTGTACAAGTTAATGGGAAATGTGCATTAAAAGGAACTTTTCTGTACCATGCCAATCATAATTTTATACAATAAATTCACTCAAATTTCTTTAAAGGAATATGTATTAAATGTTTTAAGTTGCTATGATGTAGTTGGAAAGAAGGTGCAGGGGATTTTCATCTTTATGCAGCCATACAAAGATAATTGTCTGCATCAAAGGAGAAACAAGTTAGACTTTAAGGATGAATTCCATGGGTGGGGAGTTACTAACAAGGGAAATAGACTTGATTTTTACTTTTGTTTAATTAAATACATGCTTAATTCTATTAGGTGCTTCAAAGGTTTGGTATTTGCAGCTGCCTTTTTGATAGAAGAATAAGCTTACATGTGCTTGTGAGAAACATGCTACAAAACTGCAAGAGGATTGATATTTCTGAGCATAACAGTAGCAAAATTGATGTAATTACTATTTTGTTAAGATAGGCTCCCTACCTAGTCTAGTTAAAACCCACAAAGATATGAATCTAGTTTAAACAGAATGTGGCAAGAATATTTTCTGGGTTGTCATGATGGTGGCAGTTCTGCTTCTTGTATATGAAAGATACCTAAAGGGTAGGTCATAAAGAAAGACTCTCAGCTGCGTGGCACCGTTTTTTCTTCTGCCGAGTGGTAAGTGCAACTGTGCAGTAAATTTGTCAAAATTTAACTTCAGACTAAGCATCTCTGAGAAAATCCTTTTTTTAGTCCCAGAGCTTTATATACTCTTTTCATACTTATTTTTGCACAATAACTTGGTCAAGCATTGCTGAGGCCAAGTTTGAAGAATGGAAAGCTGCTCTTAGATTGTGTGTGGCTTTTGTCCCATACCGGATCCTTTGCATTCATTTTCAGCTTTCCACCTGAGACTGATAAAATTTGGATTTTGACTCATTGAGATAACTGGAGTCATCAGTTGTCTTGCAAATAATCTAGGATACGATGTGTAAGATGAAATATAAGTGTTCCCATTCACACTGTGGTAGTTTTTAATAGCCCAAGTAAAGAACTTGGGTAGCTCTGTGACAGGCTTTCTCACAATAATTCAAATCTGGTACTAGTCCTGTCTGTGTAAGATGATGGTTTGGGCATGAGGGGATATGAATCGATTGCAGAAGGAAAGCTGATGCAAATTCTGGCTGTGCTGTGCAAAGCAGCTTGTCTCTGTCCTCTCCAGTCCTGGAGAATTAGTGATGTGCCTGGCAGCACAGGGGTAATGAGTCTAACAAATTCTCTCTTCATGGACATTAGCATTTGTCCTGCACTACCCTGCTGTATTGATTTTAAATCTATATTAATTTATTAGTGATAAGTAGCAAGAAGCTGAATCTGCGGTGTCAATCCTGTCCCTTTCCTACTACTATATATTATCCTGGTGTATTGCTAAACTTAAAATTACATTTTAATGAAGTTCTAAGTTCATTAGTGTAAGTTAAGTCCACCTTGCTAGCCAAGTGACTAATGTGCAGTTGGTTGGCTCTGGATTCTCAATTCATTTGGGAAATTAGCTGGGCCAGATTTGCTGTTGTGAGATGAAAAGTCCTCTAACTTTCCTTCTAATTGTTTAGAGCTTCAGATGCATTGCTAAAGAAATTAGCAGAACAGGGTTAATGTACTGGGGGTTTTGCTTTGTTTTAGAACAGAAGTCATTAGCAAGGTAGCAGAAGGGTTTCTTCTGCCTGATCCTGAGACTTGAATATTAGGTGCCATCCTTTTAGGAAGATGGCGTTTCCAAAGATGTAGCTCACATAAGCTTATGTCATTCGAGGTAATAAAGGACTGGCTTTGGTGCAGAGGATGCAAAACTTGGATCATTCAGTTAGTGTGACAAGTCTGTTTACATCATGCAATCTCCAGCCCGCACAGTTTGTCATTGGTGACTGCAGTGCATTGCTTCCCATCCTCCTCTGCAGGAGGAGGAATTTAGAGAGCTGCAAGTTGTTCAAGCTGAAGGGAAAGAAATAGTCATCTGGGCACAGTGGACACAGTTTGAAGAGTTAAATTGACCGTGTTGCCAGACATTTGAATACACCTAAGTGCCTTGGTTCTGTAATTGCCACATCCTATGGCACCTTCTGCATCTTACCAGGGCAGGGCAGCTGGGTAGCCTTGCCTTGAGGCAAGGCAGCATTTTCTCTTCTAGAGAATTCTAGCATGCTTTGACTTTTAGACCTCTTAACTTCTGAAATAATCTTCTGCTGACTTTTCTGTAAATTAGAAAGGTTTAGTTTGTCCTAATAACAGGGTAAGATCACCTGGGATACAAATCTGTGTGCCGAGTGGTGTTCCTGTGTGTGCGTGAGCTCCCTTTGCTGAATGTGGGGTGTTTCCCTCTGTTCCCTGTAAGCTGCAGCTGTTTCCCTTAAAGTTTGCAAGTAGGTGGCTGGGTGGGAGGAAGGACGGAAAGGCCTGCGGTGATGAACTGTTCTAATAACAAATTTTCACTGTGCTTTGGAAACTTGATTGCTTAAGATCACAAATATTCTCCATGTAATGTGAGAAATGGTAGGTGGTGAGGGGAATAGACTAATGAATTCTCTGATTTTTGTGAGGGAGTAAGAATTTGCTTGAATAGATTATGAAGTACCCAGATGATAGAGGGTTGGTTTTGGTTGGACTTTTGGGGGTGGAGAGGGGTGGGGGTGGTACTACTGGAAGTAAATAACACTGAAATGGCAACACTATGAAGCTTTAAACCTTGACTTTTTATGACTGTTCCAGGTGTCTTTTACAGCTATGGGTGATAATGCCTCAGAAGAAGCTGGAGTAAACACTCAGAGAGTGTTTCTTGGATTCTGTAGAGCTGCTGGATGCACACCTCTGCCTCCAGGACCCGCTTTTTTAATTTGAGCTAGAGAGGTGCAAACCAGAAGTAATGGCTAGATCTCATCAAAAGTGGAACGTTTGTTGCTGCCCTTTTGATGTCTTATGCAGCAGCAGCACATGGCAGATGGTTTGCCTGCCTGAAAGGCTTCCTTTTTGCCTTGCTCTGCTTTGCCTGGCACAGGTGGTGGCTGGGGGAAGAAGAGCTGTGCACTTGTCATTTGCTTTTCCACCAGCTGAGGAGGCAGAGATTGCTGAGCTGAAGCCAGAAGTTGCTCTGTCTTTCATCCCCAAATCACTACGAGTAACTTCCTTTCCCTGTGATCTAAAAAAAAAAAAGAAATTACAAAACCAACCCAAAATATATGATAATTAATAAAAAACCCCCAAACACTGCCACCCAAGAAAGCTTCAGAACTGGTAAAATTCATACCAGTTAATTAATATTCTATATATTTTCCCATAGATGTAAATTGAGGTACAAAATGATGGGTTTTTTTCTGTTCAGACAGCTGTAGTAATCTCTTCCACTTTCAGCAACTCCTGTGAGGTTCTGCAGTCAGTGAGCTTGTGAGGGACCAGTGCTGTGGTAGCTGTGCAGGGATTTCCTTGCAGCTGACATTGGACAGAATGACTGATTTCCAACCATTTTCATGTGGCACTGAATTTTAGGGTTTCACAGTTGTAGAAACCATAGCCACGTGCACATGTGCAGCTCCAAGGTCATATAGACTGGTGCTTTACAAGCATTTTGTGTTGTGTTCTGTGGGAATGCTGCAGTGGTTGTAATATGATGTGTGTCTTTCCAGGTTTTAGCCAGAGCACAGCTGATTTTTGTGCAGTGAGTTGAAATGTATTTCTCTGACTACAGCATGCTTCTTTCCCCCTGCCCCGCAGCAGCCACAGCAGTTTCTCAGATGTTGTATGGTTATCATTTGGTTTGCAGGCAAATAGAGGACTCTGCTATGTGTACATGCTGGTCCATCATTGAGCAGATCTTTTTCAGTGGTTGTCTCCTTTCAGCTGAGGAATCTATCCGTCTTTTTTCCACCCACTTCGCTCAGTCTAATAACAGACATTCTTCTTGCAATGGATGCTTCCTTTAATTGAGTTGGGTATGGTAGTGTTCTTTCAAACAAGCTTAGAGGTGGGAAAATGGCAGGGTCTGGAGAAATAACTCTGGCTGGGCTCCTCAGAGCCCTGGCATTTGCAATGCAGAAAAGTATTGTAGTAATGAGTTTCAAAAATGTTTCCATAAAGAATCAGTTTGAGAATTTAAAATTTAGAGGAGGAAGGGGAAAGTTGCAATTAGTGAAATAATATTAGTATACTTAGCAAGTGGTAAAAACCCTGGCAGCTATAATTAGAGGACTTTATTCTCTCCTTTTCAGTGAGTCATTCCATAAAGAATGGATTAAATGTATTTTTAAAATTCTTTTTACTTGTTAAAACCCGAATAGGAAAGGAAAGGGAGTCACAGAAGAATGTATTAGCAATGCAGAAAATGCAGACTTGTACAGATTACTGAATATTAACCTTGAGACAAGGCAGAAATTTGCTTTTTTAAGTGGCAGGTATGTTGGTACAAATCTACTTTTCTTCATATTTTTTCAATTATATCTGCTCTGATAAACAGAGGTTAAAAAGTAGTCATGTAGTGAAGCATGGGTAGATTTGTATCACATGAGTTATATTCTCTTGGGCAAAAGTCCTTGAGTATTCAAGGACTTATGTGTAGAGCAGAAGAATCTGGTGTTCTCTTCCTATGCTCCATGTTGTGTATGAGCCACTTCAGTGTCTCAGAATTGGCCAAATGTGTAGCTGTGATAACGTGGTATAAGACTGAGCAAATAATCCCTCCGCTTAGCAGCAGCTCTAACCAGCTCAGAACTTGATAGAGGAAAGCTGGGAGATGCACCTGCGCTTTCTGGTAATGGATATCATTGGCCATTATCATAGTGATATTTACAATGTTTGAGGTACCTCTGATGGAAGCCCTTTACAGGTGTACTGTGTGATAATATTTACCTAAATAAGAGATGAGTTTTCTCCTAAAAAAACCAACCAAACAAACAACCAACCAAACAGAAAAAAACAAAACCAAAAAACAACAACAACAAAAAAAACCCCAACAAAACCAAAAACCAAACCAAAACAAATCTACCTCTTATTTTCCCCTATATTTAAGAATTAACATAACCAAGTTGGGAACTTCTGCCTTGAATACATGAGATCAGTTTGACCAGCTGAAGCTCCAGAAGAGCAGTTTGCCTCCAGGTTTTAGCATTACAGAGTAATGAAGATTGGAAAGGATATCTAGTCTAGCTCTTGCTGAATTAGATCTGCTCTCCTGAGGGCAATATATGGTTGAGGCTTAAATGTCTCCAAGGGTGGAGGATCCAGAGACCTGGGTGACCTGGTGCAATCTTTGACCAACCTTACGGTGAAAGAATTTTTCCTCATACTTGGTTGGAATTTCTTGTGCTGCAGTTTTGTCCATTGCTTCTGTTACTGAACACCTCTGGGAAGATTCTGGCTCTGTCTTCTCCTCCTGCCCATTAGGTAGTCAAAGACAGCAGCTGAGTGGAAGTTGGAGGCCACCACTCCCTTGGAGGCACTTCTGCTGTGTAGGAGTCCGGCAGGAACGAGCAGGAGATGCTGGCGGGAGGCTGGTGCTGGGGGCTTGGGTACAGCAACGAGGAAAGAGAGAAGAGGTGCAAAAGGTCGTGTTCTTACATTCAGCCCTGCAGGCTGAAGAAATGCACAATTCCTTGGATTTGTTGTTTCTCTGTGATTGTAATGATATGCATGCACTTGAATATTTATGTTGCAAAAGAGTTATTTGTGCATGAAGATCATGGATATGAGGAGAAAGGCATCTCCAAACGCTGACCTGGCTAAGTTATAGCTGGAGAACAAAGAGAATACTAAATCCCAAGTGACATCTCAGACTAATTTTGTTTTTATGATGCTGCTGAATATGCATTTTTGCCATTTCATGCAGTAGCCTTCTTAGACACCTCCCCAAAACTTGTATTTTTGATTGTTTAAATGCTTAAATTAAATACCTATATCGTATATGGTTTGATTCCAAGATTTTCTCTTAAATGCCATGGTAACTATTAAAGTGTACTTTTCAAAGTGTCAGCTTAAAGTAATATTGGTAAAAATGATACCAGAATATCAGCTATTCAGAGTAGAGTGTTTTTCTTCCTAGAGATATGTACAATAATGACAATTAAGACAAATATCTAAATACTTGCAAATAAATGTTTTAAGTACAGTGAAATTACTGTGAGTCATTTTCAGATTTATGCTGCCTTGGCAACTGTTTTATTTTTCCTATTTTGTAACCATAGTGGGTATTTAACAGTAGCAGAGCAACAGTAAATCCTGTCAGCACAAGAGAAGGAAATAATTTGTCTGAACTTCTCAAAGTCCTGTTATGTATACATATTAGATACCCAGAAAGCAGTTTCTCTAAAGAGCTTTGTGCCTAAAAGATGCCTGAAGCCATGTGCTAAGGGTCTCCAAAGCATTTCAGCACCTAATTCCACTGAACACTTCTGATGTTTCCCAGTGTTTTTAAGGGGGCCATTTGTGACCTGCTGTACCTGTATGACTCAGTCCAGTGTTTTGAGAGGTACAAGAGGATCAGAATGAGTGCTGTGGTATCTTCTGCAAAGACAAGATTCCCTGATCCCGATTCCCACTGATCTTTGATCTCGTCAGCTTTTGGGGATCTTCACTTGTGATAAATCAAGATACTGTGATTAATGTGTCATGCCTCTTGGAGAGGTACAATCTCTTGTTAAGTTGCCTCAGGCATGCTTCCCTCTACTTTGGAATGGAAGAATTAGAATTTTATGTACTTTTCTTGAAATCTTGCTGAACCCTAATCTACCTAGATGTTGTCATCTAAATGCAGACTGCAGAACAAGCTCAGAAGTACACTAAAATAAATCACAAATGAAGGCTGTGACTGTATTGAAATATTGGACAGTGAACCAGACCTGCTCCCTACCATCATCTTAAATTACTCAACCTAAATCATGTGGAGGTTGTTAGCTGGAGCTGCAATGCAATTCAAAGCAGGAGCACTGCTTGCTATATATGGTTTCACTTTGCTCTAGAGATCCCTTAGCATATGTCTGAGATGATCCTGAAGAAAGTAGTGCTGACACATTTTGCTTGAACTCTTTGTACTACGTACAGGAAGAGAGAGGAGGCGTGGAATAAAGAGGTCAGGAAACTGGTTGCTTTTACATATATATATGTATATATATACATACTTATATTCATGAATATATATACACACATATACATGAATATATATATATATATATATCTATGTATGACTGCAGATTAAATAGGCTCACAGCTTTGTGATCTCAGGCAAACAGACATTCTGGACTTCAGAATCCATTTCTTCTTAATCTGAACAAAGACCTTCAGCAACAGTGCAGTTTCAATCTATAAAACAATTTTGCACACGGGGTTTTGTGGGACGCTGTGTCTGTGTGCTTGCAGGTCAAAAAACATTTATCAAAATCTTGTCCTTGCAAAACCAGCCTGAAAGTCTGGTCTCTGAGAGTCATTTTGTGAAACTAACTGAGATGCTGCACTAGTTCATTGCAGGGAGGAGCACCAAGAAGCCATGCTGCTAATTCAGAAGTATGCAGCTTGCATGAATATTCTTCAGCTGTCATTTGTAAAGGCTGCAATATTGCAATAAAAAATTAGTATAAATAAGAAAGGTTTATTATCTTGTGTCAATATTATTACAATATTATCTTCACATTGATTCCAAGAACTCTGTGTTATATTTAGATATGTGTCCTCTGACGTATGCTTAACAGCTTCAGGATTTAATAATAAGTTAAAATACAGATGGCACCCACTCTGGAACTAGATGGATTATCTCATTGTAAGATACTGGAACTGGAGAAGATAAAAGCAAAACGAGTTGTATTTTATAATTTCCGTATAATTTAATTTAATATAAATTTAAGGTTTTATATCCGTATGTTCATATGTATGCATTAAATATGCATAATCATATGCATTAAATCTCTAGCTCTTACTTAAGTAATCTCCAACTTTCTTAAAGGCTTAAGAATATGCTTAGATTGAAAAATCACTATGCTAAATATTTCAAATGGGAGGGATGAGAGAGAACTCCCCCACTGTATCTGATATCCTCCCCTTGCTCTGGTTAATAAAAAAACTTAATTTTCCAAGCGTATTCATGTATTCAAGGCCTTTAGATCTCAAAATTCTAATAGAATGCAGGAAAACTGCTTAAAAGTTTCCCTTTACAATCATCTTTATAGGTGGTAAATAAAATCAACACATATTTAGTCAATATTAATAGTTAATAAAAAAGAGGAATAGAAAATAATCCTCTGTCTCTTCCTTCATCTATACTTTCCTTTGAATACAAGGAGGAAATTCCAGGCAATATTTCTGGAAAATTTTAAAGTTTCACTTAAAAATAATTGAGTCTGAACTCAGCAGAGAGGTCTGTAGAGGAAGGTAAGTTCCTGCATCTTCAAAGAACAATGGCTAAATAAAGTAGTGCAGTGCCCCCCTAAGAAAAGTCTTTTCTTAAATGGTACATTAAATTAAACATTTTTACTCATTTTACTATTATATTCACTGGAGAAAACTACTTACAAAATTATAAAAATATATGGTGTAACATTGTAGGTTACAGAAAGTGAATCCCTCTATCAATCTCTTGAAGAATAGTATGTTATAGTCTAGATCAGAATAAATTAAAGAAAAATGTTCACTGAAAATATTAGCAAGCTTTTAGGTGGCATGGAAGCAGACAGGCAGCTTTTTGTACAGGACTTAATTTGAATATTTGAATATCTTTCTCTTTCCCCTTTTCCTATTGTCAAAATTGATTATTCTTATTGGCAAGGTCAGTATCTGTTTTTTGTTGGTTTTTTTTTTGTTTGTTTGTTTGTTTGTTTGTTTGTTTTTTAAGGGATAGTGATTTCTGAGGATTAGGAATCTTTAAAAACTCCCATAACAACAGCAGTAGTTGTTCCCATCTCTTCAGGGGAGCTGCTTCTCCTCTGGCAGTCTGTTTTCCTTTTGTAATGCTGTTTGCCTGGCTTTTCACTTGAAGCAGGAGAAAAGGCAAAGATCTGGTCCACTGCCACATGCACATTTGCCTGTAACAAGAAAACAATCTGATTCAAGACTGAAAGTGGGGGTTTATTAAAGGGGTTGCTTTGGGATAGAAAACTGCTTTATATTTTATCTGTGTTCTTTATATTAGCTTGACTTATTCGTGTGCACATCAGTAATTGTCTCTCTTTAGAATTAAAAATAAAACTCTGTGTCTTGTTGGGAGCTTCCTCATATTGATAACTGAGTTTGGCTGCTTAACAGGAGAGATTGATTAGTATGCTCAGGATAGGGAATTATAGTACACAGTTTGTAGTGTCCATGACTGCCTCTTCCCAAAGAGGGATTTGTGTAGGAAAAGAAGTAATTATTGACCTTGTTGTCTGTAGCATATGGAAAAGGAAGGAAGGAAGGAAGGAAGGAAGGAAGGAAGAAAGGAAGNNNNGGTGGGTTAGGTGGAAACCCATCACCTTTCTGGGGATCCTAATGACAACACATGGCTTTGCTCCATCTGGTCTTCTTCCTCAGCAAGGAGTATAGAATCCCAGGGGTTAATATATGTTTTGGCCAGGTGGGAATGCCCAGCTGCCTCCCCTGGGGAGGGTAAGTTTGTCATTGTCCCTTGCAACACTGTGGATCTGGTGCAGGGTCTGGGGACCCCTTTGGGGGTGCCTTGGATGGGCCAGGATGTCCCTCTGTCCTTGAGGTGGAGGCAGCTTGTCCCGGGGTGAAGGGGCCCCACAGCTGATCACTGCACAGAACAGAGGGTGAGTGTTCACTGCCTTTGAGCAGAGCTTTTTTACCACACACCCAAAACCTCTCCTCCTCCTGCCACCCTTTGCTGCCAGGGTCTTTTCCAGCCTGGTAGCTGATAGCCCTGGGGCTCTGGTCTTATACCCGAAGGTGTAAGCTTGATACCTCTGAGAATGTATCCTTCCCCCAGCCCAGATAACA